CCGTAGCTGGATGCCTTTATGGCTTTATCACTATGTTCCTCGCCCTACGAACCTTTGGTCACGTGATGGAATGTACGAGAGGAATGGGCCCCACACAAATTGCCTTGTTCTTTATTATTTGGGATGTGCTGGTAATATTTTGGCAATTCGTGGCGACAATAGTGGCGTTTTCCTTGGTCATTACTAAGATCTTTGTATCTGAGAAATACTATCTGTCAAATGGGAAAACTCATGGTTCTCTGTAAGTACCATAAATCATTAGTATCATGTATTTTATAAATCGTCTTCCCTCCAAAGAAGTATTCTGGGAGTGTAGTGAGTCTAACCCGCGAACAAGCTCCCTGTTTGGAGGATATCGCACGAAGTCAACGCGAGCGGTAATTGAAATAAGACGTGAAAGCGAGGGGCAGGGAAAGAAAAGATTCCCACCCCTCGCGGCCTTGCTGCTCGCTTGAGCGTCCTCTTGCGGCTTGCTTTGCTCGCCACTTAAAAGGGAAGTTTACCTGCAGGCTATTATAAGCCTTGTATTCATTTTTTATAGACATAGAATACCGTAAAATTCCGAAAATAATCCCCAGGGCTTATATTTTTCATTGGCCTTTTTTGAGGGGCTTATATTCGGAGGGGCTTATCTACGGAGGGAAATCTGCGTTTACAAATCGATTGGGCTAGCCTTATAGTTCGAAGTAAACTTACCGTTTTTGCTTTGTTTTATTTTGTTTTTGAGGGCAATTTTCCAGGTACAAGCCCCCGGGGTGCTTATATTTGGAGGGGCGATTTAACGGAGGGTTTTTTGCGTCACTGGTTTGGGGGGCTTATATTTGGAGGGGCTTATCCTTTGGGGGGGGGGGGCTTATTTTCGGAATTTTACGGTAGCTTCGTTTAAGCGCACCTCTTCCAGGTGCGTCATAGTTTCTTCATTTTGAAACATTTAGCCTAACTTTTTCAAATTTGTTGATTTTAATACTTATTAATCTCCTCCATTCTAAAGCGTTACAGTATCAAATCGGCAACAAATTTTCATCTTTCAGTTACCAAATAGAGCACTGTGAGATCCAATCGAGCGTATACAGCAGTTGTATTCTAGACTACTATAAACAGTAGCTCTGGACCAGTAAATCTCTGAGTTGTTTGAAACATTTTTTTTAAAGAGCCCATTCTTGTCAGCTATGAATTTTTTCCTTATTTAGTTTGCTGGAATAATTTTGTTAGGTTTGTGCACAATGTAAAATAATGACTCAAAATATATGTCCTAACAGAGCTCTGTTAACCAGAAAATATTCATTGAGGGATTTTGTTTAAATTATAGGAAAATTATGGCTAGTCTTATGATTTTGTGTCAATTCAGCTTGACATGCTCTTAGAATGACTGTATTTGTTATTTTAAAGCAACAAGTAAATCGGCATGTTCTCTCACTTGTAACATTTATGACGTGTTCTTGCTTTTTCAGGGCATGTGATGACGATGGATATGTTTGGTGAGTCTATTTTACTATCATGAAATTACGCGGTGTTTACCCTCACTCTTTTGGTCTTTTCTTTCCTAAGTTCGGATACAATTCAAGTACAATATTTCTAAAATCAGTGTGCTTAGCAATGACACTGCTCCATTAAAGACAATGGGCTCAAAAGGGTATGATAAGAAGGTCTAATCAATTTTTAGTCTGCAAAACAGCCCGTACTTTTGAGTGGGCCAAGAATCTCACACTGGTGCTTCGCGCCTAAAGAAGACGGTTTTAGGAAAAAACAAACATTATGATGAGAAAATGGAATCATAATGTCATTTTATTTCGAGGCATTTCCCGTTTCTTATCAGCAGTGTGCACGCGGTGGTTCCCTGGCCATCAGGAGATCGAACGTGTTTAGTTCTGTATAAAAGACTTGTTATATGTTTTGCGCGGCCCTTCCAGCTATTACCGTCAGCCTGTACTGACATCCCTTTGACGCTTAGTAGAATTTTTTCAGACAAGTTTCTTTTTATTTTTAATCATTCTTTGTTAAGAGAGTTGTGGCTACACATACGGTTACCCGAACACCTCGTGTTTTAATCTTGGGGTACTCTTTTATTCGACGCCTGCAGAAGTTCATTGAACATCATATCGGTTACCTTGATTTATCCCTACAAATTACGGCTCCTGCAGATATATCTTGGCATGGCATTGGTTGGTGTACAGTAACAAAAACGATCAAATTTTATCTGCACGTAGTTCGATCTAAACGCCACGACATAGTTATCGTGCAACTTGGTAGTAATGATCTACCATTTCAGTCTCCTCTACAAGGTGGCTCAGAAAAAAACGACTGCTTTTCCGTCAAAGGTTATGTTCAGACTATACTGGATACCTTTTCGTACCGACATCAATAACTGTATGGTATAGTATGAACACCTATCGGATATTTCAGGTCGGCTCGTCGCAGCTTCGCTCCGTTATAAAAATCGAACCGACAACACCGTTCTTATGTGTGAACAGAAGCACTGTCCGGTATGGTTTTCGCGCCGGCGCAAACGATATCCGGTATGGTGTGAACATACTAGCCTAATCGAATTCTTATAATGTCTGTTTTCAGTTTGGAAAAAATGACACCGCACCTCGCTTTTTCTCTACTGGGCGTTACGGGGCTTGACGAATTTGAGTCAGTTGACCCTTCAAGCGAGCTGGTGGCTAAGTTGCTGTACGCCATCTTTCTCATCATGGGAGTTATTCTACTTATTAATATGATGATTGCGCTACTCTCCAACACTTATCAACATGTTCAGGTACTAGCTGAAAAACTCAAGAAAAGCTCAAGGACGCAAACGAAAAACTGATCATGATTAATGTGTCATTTGTCCAGCTGCCGGTAATGGGGCGTTCCTGCCATCCGGGATATTATATGTGTATTTTTAAGACATGAAAGCGAGGCACAAAGCCTCTCTGCTCCCTGCAACAAGAAAGTTAGAAAACATTTTTCCCTTCTTTCCCTCCCCTTTTGCTCCATTTTCATCTCCCGGATGGCGGGTGTGCCCTCACCTTTGCTGGGATAATCTTCTTATGCATCCGGATTTTCCCAACGGCCACTCTTGTGGTCAAATTCATCCCAAACTGGAATTGTTATCATTTGGCCGCCAAAAGCAATAACTGACTCAATAATTACCATCTAAAGGACCATGATGCATAAAAAGTATAAACAGAAGTAGCAAAAAATACTTCAGACGCTGTAATTATTGAAAGATTTCTTCTTTTGTTGCTTACTGCTATTTAGATATCAGGAGACAAGCAGGTTTCTACAAAGAGACAGCTTAAACTTTTTTTTTTCACTACCTGATCCAATATCTCCTATTTTTTTTCTCTCTCTATGCAGTGTATTTCAAAAGTCACTTTTGTAATGTAGCACTAACATTTAATTGTATACAACCCTTCAATCGTACCAAACATTGATAAAAAAGACCAAGTTTTATTTTCACTTTATTTTCACGCATCATATTCTACGTACCCGCCTGAATTTCAACCGATCCAATGCCAGCTTCACCACGTTAACATCACACTACGGTTACTTTCTTTGTTCTACTGGCATAGTTATGCTGACATAGACACGTTTATTGATGAAATTTAAAAAGAATTTCCTGTAAAATGTCTTTGTTCGTTATATATGTATGCGTAACTAGGTGGCATTCTAGGATAAAATGTATTAGTAAAATGCAACTAGTGGTCTATTATCAATGCTGCTTTCTGATTGGGTGAGCTCTTACTAGAATATATGTTGTAGCCCACCAGTAGCGAAAAGCGCCGGCTTTGAAAACCAAAACAATGGCGGCTGAATCGCGGTTTACAAGCTAAAGTTGTCTTGTCTCGATATTTTTGACCAACTAGTTGGATTTTACTAAAACAGATATTCCTCTCGCCCTCATGGCCTCTGAGTAAATAGCCCATTCGGCCCTCCGCCTCGTGGGCTAGTGACTCAGAACCCATTCTGGCTCGAGGAACAATAGTTAAATAATATGTAGCATCCCGACACTTCCTTTGCTAAATTTAGGTAGTATAAATATATTATCAGTAACTATTATTATTTCTTATGCGGTTTATAAAGTTGCTTGTTGTTGTTGTTGTTGTTTGTTTGTTTTAGGATCACTCGCAGAGCGAGTGGTGTTTTAAGAAAGCCATTACAATGAGGACTTACAGCTCATACCACCCCGTTCCAGTTCCTTTCAACCTATTATCTATTCCATTTATGGTAATATGGAAATTGTGCCAAAAATGTGTGGCCGAAAAATATCGATTTACTCAATCGGGCTGTGATGAGAGCGGAAAGGTGAGGTGTATAATATTTGTTGTTATATGCCTGGAAATGTCTTCCCAACAGCGCGCGCTTTTATTGATTACTTCTAGGACACATGACATCTAATATTAAATAAAACCGTTTCCCGCCAAAATCTCTGAGAGGGCAACATTGTAAAATATAAGACGTCAGAGGGTAATTGTGCACTGTAACCCGCGATTTTTGACGGACGACCGCTGTTACAGCGAGGTTTAGTGAATTCCCCTCTTCAAAATGTCCCGCCTCGGGAAAAATTGAGATTACTAAGTATTTGTTCCATCTTATTTTTGCCCTTTTTCCGATATACTTTTCTACTCCGTTACTTTCTCAATTATTATTTCTTCCTTTGTTATCTTGTGTGAAGGTGAATAAATAAAGGCTGTTTGTAAAATAGTATCTTGAAAAACATAACGCCCAATTTTCAGTAATTCTGAACATCGCCCCAATTTAAGGTACTCGATTTTTATCACGACCATAACCCTTGGGTATAAAAGGGTCGAAAAAAATAACTACTAGCTACTTTTTTTAACCATAACAGAAAGCTGCACTGGATCTGTTGGTAAAGAGATTAAAGCGGATCTACTTTGCAACACATGGCTTTTCTTTTCCGCTCACAGGTTGGATGTAGTTTTTCACCTTATCATTAGGGACCTTGACCATCGACAACGAACTGCACCGTGAAACGACTGGGTCGAGAACGTCGTTCACGGCGGGAAAATTCGAGTATTAAGCGCTCGCTTGCTGACGACGAGTTTCCCATGTAAACAAAGGAAATGCAAATGATCGAAGTGTTCAAAATGTCTTTTCACGGTCTTCCCTGAACGTTTCGTAGCGCTTTGCCTATGTTCCTCTCGAGCTGCTCCTTCTTCCTTTTCTTTGTTCTTTACCTCGGAGCTTTTTTCGTCGGCCAACTTCTCCTGTCAATTATATCTTCGAGAGCTTGGTCTAGTTCGGTCTTCCAGTGGCATTTTCCTCTTGGTGTATTTTCGCTTTATACTTGGTAATCAGCAAGGTCTGTCTGTCTCTTATGGATCTTTTATTGACTTTGAATTTCGGATGATCTAGGCCACTCAGGTTTACAGCTATCTGGTAACATACATCTTCCCTTTCCTTGCTTCTATACGGATGTTGGTAGGGTTCCATGAGCTAACACTTCTCGGCATAGCACCAAGTCATGTTTGTCTGACCACTCCATCTCCTTCACAGAAAAATAGAACCAAAGGTTACTAATTTTTGGAGACAAGGCACTACAGTTCTTCAAGAAAAAAGGGCGGAACAGGTTATGATTTAGCATCTTTTTGCCCGGTAAACCTTTTTGCCTCGCGAAACTGAGCTGGAAAACACAAACAAGAAAGTTTCAATGCGACTCGCCGGTGCTTGTTTACGAAGACCGATATCAATCGGTTTTCTGATGTGTTAGTACAAAAATACAAAGAACAAATAAGTTGAAAGTCGAATCACTGCTGGACGCCAAACCATGGGTTTTCGCATTCTCGATAGCATGTGGACGACGAGCCGAGCATGTGCAGTAGCGTTCAACTCGCCTCGGCCACTTTTGGTAGGTCGTCGTCAATGCTTAAGGTCCCTATTAACTCGCCCTGTTATTAGTTAGACCCTTACTCGAAATCTTTAAGCCCATTTTCCATGATATAATTACTCCTTCTTAGCAGAAATGTACTGACTTTAGCGAGTCGCTTTGACAGACTCGCATGTTGTTTTTAGGTTGTGTTGTCTTGGGTATGGTCTTTCTATAGAGTACTAAAGTGTGACGTCATAAAAATGAAATTTCTGAAATTATGAGATTTGTCAGGATATTCTGCAAGAACAATGTCCAAGAGGCCTACTTGCCAAAAATGAGCATTTCGGGGCAAATTGTATCTGAGATCGTAGCCCAGTTATGCTTAGAAAACTCCTTACAAACCCTTCTAAATTTTTTTCGGGTCGACCCCAAAAAAATTAGTAGGGTTTTTATGGGGTTTTCTGAGTATAACCGGCTAACATCATCATTCATCCACTCATGTCTATTTTAGCTGAGAAATTGTGTTCAAAATTACGTGTTTTTGGAAAAGAATTAGATAATCAACAGTTCCTAAAAGTCGTATTTCTCCTCAAACGTGGGATTGTGTTGTTTTAAGGGGCAAAAAATCTTGCGGTAATTCTCTTCCCTCTGGAGCGTTGTCTAAGACGAAAAACCTCAATCTTACAGTCTCTAAGAGTTCAATGTACACGTTAGTAGAAATCCAAAGCTGATCCCGTATAACTAAATGTCGTGATAGGTCTACCCACTCTATCATATACTGAAATATACCTGACGACAGAAAAAGGTAGGGCGGAGCCTTCCCTTTACATTAAGTGGGGTACCCCAGAGGGAAGGCTGAAAAATGGCTACAGACTAAAGGCTTCATAACTAACCCAAATAGTGGCTTAGAATCCTTCAACGTCAAATGTTAAAGGTTCGATAGAGCTGCTGGAAATGACCATGTTAATCTTTGTCATCCTAGACGAGAACAAAATGAACAAACTGCTAAAAGAAACTGACGGCAACCGAAGACTGGCAAATAGCATCGTCCAACGAGTGTTCGCACCACAAGACAAATGTTTCATGATCAAAGGCCCGACCGTAAGATTTGTTGAAATTATTTTCCTTCTTTACAGGATCTGTTTTATTAGTTATTTACAGTCTTCTGTTTTCATTTAGGCGTGGGAATCCCTTGGTATTGAAATTAAAGACTGTCTGTTAAGATATGAGGGTGCTGATTCTTGCGCGGAATGCAAAGAAAAAGAAAAAACTGAGAAAATTCATGGAGCGAGGTATTTGATGCCTTTCACACGAGAAACACCGCGCATTGAGGTAAGGAAAGCGGTAAGATTGTGAAGATTTTGTTAATTAAAAACTTGGTCCATTATCCTACGAAAGACTTTGAATTTGTTGGTCAATTTTGGAACGTAACAGCTGCAACTTTCTCGATATTCAAGACAATGAGTAAATTTGAACAGGATAATCCTGTTCAAATTTTTTGATCAATTTTGGAACAGTTACAGCTTTCTCGATATTCAGGACTATGAGTAAATTTGAACAGGATAATCCTCTAAAAGTATCCGGCAAATTCGCAAAGAAATGATTTGTTTTAAAGAGAAACTCAGTAGGGTATAAGCCGCCAAATGTCAGTTCATGGGAGTCATTCATAATCTGTGACATGACTGGAACAAGATGACCGTGTACTGCGCTCTTCAAAAACACGCATATTCCGAAGTTCAAAAGCCAACTGGCGTTTGCGTTTTTCGCTGTCGTCAATCATTTTCGCGGACCTCGTAGGAAACAAATGTCTACTTCAACAGCTTCAAAAGGTCATGGTTTGTGATTTCTGATTGGTGGATTTCGATCCCGGTTTTGTGTGTTTCTGTCTTTCAAGGTTCGTTGCTTGTGATCGTAATTATGAGTGACGGCAGCGAAAAACGCAGTTGTGAAGGCGGCTTTTAAACTTCAGAGTTTGCGTGTTTTTGAAAAGCGCAATAAGGGTTTCCAGTTTTATTTTCCAGTCTCTTTTTCCGTTGTTACTGTTTACTTGATAAGTTAAACAACACATTAACAGCAAAGAATTTTCTTTCCAAAAGGGGCTCTCATCGAACTCATGGACAATGAGCTTTATCGATTAGCCATGGGAATTTTAATGGGTGAATAACTTTTGGGAGAACTCAGTTGGGTTAAGGGGTCTGTTTTTTGCTTTAAAGGATATTTTTGGCGATTTAACAACTTTTCAAAAGTTCCCCATTTTTATTTGGGGAGAAAATTTGCTCTTCCGGAAAGTCTGTTTTCTTTTCCCCTGCTGGCATGTGTTTTCTGAGCGCTCGTCGATGTAGAGCAGGCTTTGCCTAGTCCCTAGGCCTCATTATTCCGCTCGGCCAAAGTATCTCGGGTCACGTGGTCCAAGAGAAAATATGAGGCCTAGACAACAATCTTCAAAAGTGAGAGACAGCTCATGCTGTGTGGTTTACAAGACCAGAGTTTCTCATTTCAAGGTTAAAAATACACCGCTAAAAGTCGATCCCGCAAATATCCAAAAGGGTTTTTTTTAAAAAAAAGAACATAATTTCGTGCTGTTTACAATATCGACAACATCTTGAATTTCAAAAAGCAACGCACGTATGCACGTTCTGTTTTTGTCTAGGCGTTTCCCGCCCGGGAATAGGCAAGAGCAGGCTTATGGTCGAGTGGCTTTCATTTTTTATTATTATTATTTGATAGCGTCAAAACATTCAAGAACTTGCTCCTTAATATAATTAAAAGTGAACTCAGCTAAAATTGAGCTTATTTAACTTCAGGTGTTGATTCAAGAAATTGGTGAACGGTGCATTTTAGCCGTCGGTGCAGTGTTTAAATCTTACAACTGTCATCAAATGCCTGGAAAGGAGGGAGGAACAGTTGGCTATCGTGTGGAAGATGGGAAACTATTCAAGCCTGGCTGTGAAAAACTGGGGGAAGAAATTCCAGGTAATTGATGGGTGATAACAGTCTCGTTCTTAGGCACTCTCTTGTCCCCGTCACCCAGAGTGAGAGAGTGAGAGACGGAAATGCAAGGGACCTGGACACATGGTTGGGTTGATAGGTAGTGATTTAGGATTCTAAATTGCTGGTTTTCAGTCTAACTCACGGCCGCCATGCTGGAGGGCAAACGCGTTTCCCCTTCACTATGAACTACACTCTTTTGTATGCAAATTCTACCAATTTTGTTTAGCTCTCATATCGGAAAAGGGCATTATAAAAGGCTATTTTATGCTAGGAACGTAAAGTAATAAATTCGTCTACACGCATTCAAATTCTGAGACGTTAAAATCATCTGGTGTAAAAACGGGATGCATAAAAGCAGGCGACAACAGTTAAAAGGCGAGTTATTTGGAAAAAAGACAAACAGTGACTCTTCCCAGTCGTTTCTATTCGAGTTGAGCATGAATACGTCCCAGTTTACGGCGTCCCATTTTTATGCTAGACAAGTTTAATGTCTGAGACGTTAAAATCATTTGTTAAGTGCGTCGTTTGGACGCATTTAGCAGAAGACGTGAAAGTCGTCAGATGTTAAATGCGCCTGTCTTATCTACCGCTTTTATGCTAGACGTTTAAGTCGTTTTAAGACCACTTTAACGTCTCCAGCATAAAAATGGCCTATGCTTGCAGGCTCCATTTCCCCGTCTCTCCACAATCCATACGCGGTTTTTTGCGCAGCTTTTCTAAGTCGGCTCTTCCTACTATTTTGGAGCGTGGAACAGACTTAACCTCGCCTACAGATACAAAGACATATATAGAGATCTAGGAGCTATAACGTGACAGGTCACTTGACAAATTCTCAATATTTTGGTCGTTTTCAGACGCCATGGCCAGACGTGGTGATCTCATCGCCTGTGAGGTGCTTTTCGATGGTGCAACCGATGACACCATTCCAGTTGTGTTCTTCTTGAACGGTAGAGAGATTGCACGTGCTTCGATGATGTGCGCCGCTGGACAAGCGAGACCATTTCCATACATTTCAATGGGGATAAAAGGGATTCAAGTTCTTGCCCAGGTACGTTAGTTTCCTTTATTGTCCTTCTTATATATCTTAATATTTCAAAGTTGATTTTTCTGGCTTAAAGATGAAATGTCTAAAATTTCATCATAATCTATCTGAGATTAGAAAACCTTTGTGTTCGTATTCTACTACAAAACCTGCATTCTGATTAGTCGTGACTGCAGAGTGGGGGTCGGGGGTTCGATTCCTGGGGCCGGATCAATACTCAACCTTCGCGTGGACCTGATGACCGCGAAAAATGGCGGTCCCGTCTGTAGTTGGAGAAAATAGTGTGCCGAATGTACTTTCGTTCTAAGTACATTGACACTCAAATAAAGTGCTTTTTTTTGACATGGGTGCTGAATAGATTTACTAATTAATAATTAGAAGGCTGACTCTCCATTTCCATCGATTTTGAAAATTAACAACTAAAATTTAGTAAAAGAAGAGGACTATCGTCGTGTCATCCCGCTTTAGGCGAGAAATTCTCTATTTGACGCCACAAGGAAACAGTTGAGCCATAAATGAATAAAACCATAAATCATTTTGTTAATTTAGATCTGTCCACGTGACAGTGGTATGAGACCAGTATCTGCAGCAGCTCTTGCGGGGTCAGAACGCTACTCGTCCCTCATTGTACAAGAACAGTACATCAAGTCAAGGGAAGACATGGAGGCAATGGAAAGAGGGAGAAGAGCACAGGCCAAGGAGTTTCAAGAAAAACTCGATAATCAGTGGAAAATCTTGACCGATATGTCGACACAAATTCAAAATCTCGTAATGATTTCTGGTCCGGAAAGAGTCAGTGCAAGAAAGAGCTGATGGTGATGTTTTTGTAGGCTCTGAGGAAAGAGTGGAAACTGAGTCTGTTTTGTGATTATTACAAAATCATCTTAGACAGTGCATGGTCTCACTAATGCTGATCTTCTCTTCAAGTATTTTAAAACTAAAATTTAACAAGTTAAAACAAATTATCTTTACCCGTGTAAATGTAACGTAAACATGGCGTAACGTAAACAAGCTCTCATTTACACAAAAGCTGAATTCTACCTGATTATTATAGGAAAACAAGCGGCTCCACCGAATTTTTAAACGACGAGGCATTTTCAAAAGAGTTGTTGATGTTTAATTATTCAAAGTGAAATTTGAACCGAACTTAGAATTCCTACATGAAGGAAAAAACCACTTTTAGATTTTTTAAACAAAATTTTTTTTACAGTGTTACGAACTCAACCGAAGCCTTCCACAAATAGGCCAGCCAATTCAATCACAGGTTACATTCACAACAAAGGAGTCTGAGCTTTGGTGACTATTAACCAATCAAATATGAGAACATTTTTGTTTTTAATTTTCAAAGTATTGGTGGCTCCGCGTAAGCTCGTTGCACTGCAGTTGGTGAACTTATAAATCTGTATGTCGGTACCCATGACTGAAAGAAAATGTAAAGCCTGCGTGGCAAGCGTTTCAAGGGTATGGGCGGAGGTAAGTGATACACAAGGCGCGCTACGTGAAGTCCTTTTTTTTTACCGGTCAACCTTGGTCACTTCGCCTGTAGTTTATACCATATTACATCAGTTCAAATAGGAGGTGGATTTTACTATGTCCAGCAGGAACACCACAATGAATTTTTAAGATTTTTGAGGGAAAGATCTCTAAAGTTCATTAACTTAGGGAAATAATAAAAATAATTCGAAGGAGGGATTGAAGATGAGACTCGAGAATAATTAGATTTTCTAAGCAAGAGATCAGTTTAGTCAATGCCGTTTTGAACCAAGTTGAATCTCATTATATAGTTCAGTTAAAAGGGAGGATATTTAGCGCGTAACAGAGTTAAAGGGCTGTAAAGTTCCTAACACCAAATCAGTATATGCACTATTGCGTTGTTTTCCGGTGTAAAGGCTACCATGTTATTGTTTAAGGGCTAGGGCTAGTTTTGTTCGATGTGATGCCTCATTAACGACCTCCTATAGACATGGCATAGGGAACACCTTAGGACAGAACTGAAAAAAACTATTTGTTTTCAACGCGAGTGAGTAATTTTGAGTTGATAAAACAGTGTTTTTCTGGTCTGTACAATATATATGCCTTCTTGACTCATATGATTATGTTCACTTCGATATTTCGTTTCAGAAATGGGATAAAATTGCGGTTTTGTTGAATAAAATGAAAAAACCTCGTTGAAATGACCTCTCGGCCGCGACGCTGTTGTCCGGCCAACTTGAGATTAGTGTACAGCCACTTACGTAATGGTTTGATGTTTGATGAACTACTTTTTAAAGCTTAAAGAACATCGGCTATTTTCTAAAAGCTGTTAGGATAATATAACTACGCCATTCCAATCAGGAGGTGCTTCCTACTCAACGTGGCTATTTATAACTGAGCGAGAATATAACCTTCCACAGAATAATTATTTCATAAGCACTCAACTTGACAACACGTCTGTGATACAACCACTTGTTTATTCCTACAATAATGTTATTTCTGCATTGGATTGTCACCCTCACTTTTGGTGTAACCCCCAAACATGACTTTAAAAATCGAGAAAACGACCTGTGTTTTGTCTTAGTTTGTTGTTGTTTATGATGCATGCTGTTCATGACACAAACTATTGGAGGAGCAAATCAGCATAGGTCAGATGTGCTGTGGTCCGATAAGGAGGTTGTTCTGCGTCAGAGAGTCTTCAGACTCTTGTTCTTCCCGCAGTCTCGTTAGAAATGTAAGCTTTGCATTTATTATTCGTAACATTCATGTAATTTTCATGAACAGAAGAAATTAAAAGAAAAGAAAAGAAAGAAATGTACATCTGAGTTGAGACTTCCTGTTCCCAAGTACCCCTTAAGGGCGCAGTCGAATCTCCTTCGTATATAACAACATTATTATTTTATGTTTTTAAGTGAACTTTAAAAGTTCGTTACTCTTCACGTGACTTGAAAGTGTAGTTCTCTTACGTTACTTCTCATGCCATTACCATGACCTTCGAGAAAGTATTTAACTGGGTAATTCTTGGGAAGAATTTAATCACAACAGGTAAGGCTGAGATATTAAACGTTTTATTCAGTACATTCATTTCATGGTTTTTTTTCCAAGTCAAACGAAAAATATATTATTCTGCGCGCAACCTTTCGAAAACCTTCCGAAAAAACTTTCGTTCATACACTCAGAACAAAAAAAGAATCAGTTGCACAGTTCTTCTGATATAGAACACAAGGGCATTTATGCATGCGGTTTTCTCTTTCTAAAGTAAGCTGCCCATTGAACAAAGGACTGGTAAACTGACATTTTGTTCTCCTCTTACTAAAAGTATTACAACTCTCTATTTAATGCCACGCAAAAAATATACAAAGTAGGCTAATTAGGAAAGCCGAACGGCTACTATAATTTATTTTGCTTACCAAAGAAATATAGTCCAAAAGAGAAACAAACTACTGCTTGCATTCCGCCTTTTCTCTTAAAAATCCGTCTAGTTCTTATCTCAGCCGGCGCGGTTGCAAACCACGACGTTATATTATAAGGGATTGGGACCAGACGAGAAAAGACGGACTGCGGGCTCTTTTGTAGAAAACAAACCCTCCGTTAACCCAGAAATGGAGTAACCGATTGGTCAATTTTACAGCTGTTGCCAGATCATTGACTGGTCTGTGGTGGAGATGCAAGCGATAAAAATAGTCAAGCGTCACAACTAACTACGAACAATTACGAACCTGGCGGTAATCGCTAGTAAACTAAAACGTTTAATTATATCTTACGGAAAGAAACTGCAAGAAATTTTCTAAAGGGAAAGGAATTCAACAAGATTATCTTACCGGATTTTAAAAAAAATAAATTTTTCAGTTGTTTATGTTCTATTTATAAATCGTTTCAAGTTACTCGGGTTTAATTGGATAATTAAATTGCGTCTACAGCTTCGTTGTCCCCAGAAAGAACAAAAGAGTCAGCAGTCTCTTATTTTTTCTTCTCGGGCTTACGCCCTTGTTTATCGCGCGCCGCTCGCGTGCTTGGGTTTCGCGTGCAGTAACTTTGCAAAGAAAAATAAGAGTGCTCGCAGTCTAGAAACAAACCGACAATACGAAATATGTGTCGTCGGACAAGTGAGATACCCATGTACAGGTTATAATTTTCTTACTATCAGCACTTTTTAAGTTCTAGTCTTCGCATTCATGCTTATAAAAATAAGTAATAAAACAAAAGTGCTTGCAACAGTTTTCGGAGAAACCAACCGTCGTTTTATAGGCCACGATTATTTTTACTAAAACCTGCTTTAAAACATCGTTCACGACCTAATTCATAATGTGGATACAGTCTTCGGTAAAATCACAAACAAGCAGATAGCCATTCTTAGCAATAGCGACAGACCAAGGATCTTTCAATTCTTCAGCAACTGAGTTCAGGAATTTTCCATCAAAGGAAAAAATTTGAAGTCTATTGTTTTCGTTATCACATCCAACTAGATTTTCACGTTTGTCTATTGCTAGGCCTTTAGGTCCCTTTAACTGCCCTTCACGAGATTCTTTGCTACCAATCTCATAAAGTAACTGTCCCTCGTCACTGAAAACTTTGACACAATCTGCTGAATGGTAGGAAATAAAATACATGCTTTGGTAATGTACAGCAAACCAAGGGAACTCAACACAATTGGGGGCTTTGATGCTCTGTATCAGCTTTTTGCCATCGGGAGAAAGAACTTTGATTGCAATCATCACTCCAGTCACGCACGAACAGTTTACCGTCACTTAAAACAGACACACTCTGTGGCTCAATCAAATGCCTACTAATATCAGTAATAAAATGACCAAGCTCAGTAACTAGTCTACTTCGTTGCGATGATTCAACATCACACAATGTTACCAGACGATGTGAATGCCACGGATATCTGATTACCTTTAATCTTCGCACCAGTTCCCTTGTCTCCTATCGTCCTCAGAAATTTTCATTCAGAATCAAACAGCCACAATATACCCACTCTTTTCATTCACTGCAATGCTACGCGGATTGTGGAACACTCCTTGCCCTTTCCCACGTGATTTAAATGGTCGTAGACCTTTGTTCTTATGTGGACTCATTTGCAAACCACGAGGCCAGCAGTCAGCGGCTTCTCACAACGGTTAACAACTACGTCATGTGCTGCACTCGCGGTGTTTGGCGTGTGTTGTGCTGTCTTGTCTTCATCTTTAGAATCGTTTGAATTCCTACACGGCTTGTGGAACACTTCATGTCCTTGCCCAGGTGATTTAAATGATCGGAGATCTTTGTTCTGATGTAGACTCATTTGCAGACTCCGAGGCCGAGCAGTCAGCGGCTTGTCGCAACGGTTAACCACAGCGTCATGTGCTGCGCAAGCAGTGTTTGGCGTGTGTTGTGTTCTCCATCTTTAGAATAATTTGCCTTATTTTTGTTCCCCACTCCGTTTTCTGACCAACAAGTTATTGTAATGTGAACTTTTTCCTCCTGCAATTCGAAAAGCTCCTGTTCTTTGGACAAGAACCGCGGTACAGTGAGGTTCCAATTCAACAGTACCCTGAGTAACTGAGTCTTTGTCTGCACGATAAGTAACACGCCTTGGTTTATAGATTTCCATTTCTTCGTCATTCAAACCTTTCTCAAAGCGAATTAAGTCAGCAGCACATTCTGTTTCCAGAATTCCAGGACCATTCATTCTTTTTAAGAAATCCTCGCCTTTTTCAATATATTTCCTTGTCTGGGTTGCGACCATTTTAAAGTTTTTTATCCGAGTCTCGTACTCTCGTTGTCGTGCTTCACGAATCTCAGAAAATTTCATTTCCATGTCTCTTTTATGTGCGTTCAGAAGGCGAATCTTCTCTTCCACAATCTCAACCATGTCCTTTTCAGCAGAACAGATTTTTTCCTGGCTTTTTTGCATCAGATCAGTTTGTTCCTTCACCTTTGCCTCAATATAGACCACTTTCGCTTTAAGTTTATCAACAACTTTAGCCATTTCATTTTGTCTCACAAAAGCCTCCTGCTGTACATCCTTTTTGTTGTGATGGTTAGAACTGAACTGTCCACATTTCTGACAAACTTTGCAATCTTCACAAAAGTACTCTACTGGCTCATTCTCGTGATTTCTCTCTTGACACGTGTTGGATCCATGGAGGATCTTATCCGGAGACTTCAAGCTTTTCACTAAAAGATCAGTGCGCTTATATGTTAGTCAATTATCGCTTACTTTCTCATTGTAACCTTTCTTAAATCTGGCTTATACCCCGAAGGGAAAGAGCTAAGAACGTTCCGCATACAGACAGTAGTCACCTTCCTTTAGTACTTAGAAGACACTGTTAAGTCTGTTAAGAGGTGCAGTTCGTTAATAGATCGTGTTAACCCTTTAAGTGCCAATAGTGACCAAAAACAATTTTCTCCTAACGATATCCATACATTGTCAATAGATAAAGTTATGAGAATTAATTAAATGATCACCAAAGAGAAAATGCCATGATCTTTTATCAAATTCTCTCAACTAATTCTTAAAGGAAATGTATGGAGATCAGTTTGGAGAATTTGTATATAGATATTGGGACTTACGGGAGCATCACGGTTGGTTTTTGGGGGAAATGTTGTTGATTTGGGAGGGAAATAAATTAGGGTAGAAGAGGGATACACATAAACCAGTTAGTCAGCTAGTGAGATCAGCGGCACCTTTTTGGAGTAGTGGACTATCTGGTAATTGTCTACTAATTATTCACTACTCATTTTAATTTTTAACAACCCCCAAATCCAATATTTTCCCATTTTCTCAAAATTTTAAACATCTTCCCTCCCCCCCTTGAATTTTATACATTAAAAAAATCCGAAAAATCATCCAAAAATTCACAAATAATGATTGAATTAAGGATTGTAACTTAATTGGGTCATTTTTTGATTGAATGATATATAAACGGTACAAATGGTCCTTTAAGGAGGTTCAAGCATGAACCGTTTTTAAGGTTAATCTAAACTTAAAGAAAAATATCTATTTCTTTTTCAGTCATGTATCCCTACGTACCTCATGATCAAAATTTATGAACAGTCAGAGAGGCCAAAGGTGAAAGGAATCATAACGTCATGAAGACCGTGCGTTTTATGCCATTAACACACTCCAACAACAGAGAATATAGTGACAGACAGAGAATCTTAGGGCGTCGGCCGGGATACATGAATTTCACTTAAGTTATTTTTAGAGGTTGTAATTAAAAGGAAGTATAATTGCTGGAACGTCCGCACATTTTGATCGATTGTTTGAGACTTCATCTAGTCCACGCGCGACTCCCTCAAAGCGATTGAATGCAGAATATTGTGATGGCGACACATGTTCGGAACAAATCTAATTTAAACATCGGATATGAAAATTATCCAAAAACTATTTCGTTTTTTAGATAGGGACCTGGCGCTAGTCACGTGACCCCCCTCCCCCCCCACCCCTTTTTCCCATGTGCCTAGCGGGTTGTTCGGCGGGCGCTAAGGGGTCGTTTTATTGAAGAGAGAGCACAGACTTTTTTTTTTCGTTCGAGTTGAAAAATTCTGAATTTATCCCCCACCACACAACACGAGAGCATAATATCCCATTATTTTCTTTTTATAACACTAAATAAGGGCTTGTGGACCTCTCCGGAAACCAACTTCCGATTAATTTCAAGCTTTTAATTGGTCTAAAAATAACTTTCGTTGGTGAAATTCACACATCCCTGGGACAAGACTGGGCTTTTTTCTCTCTATTCCATTATTCTCTCTTGACTCCAAACAACCGACCAGCTTTGAGAATTTCGCTCAGAGTGAGATGTTTTAATAACAAGTTAACTTACCTTCAGTAGTTATTTCATGGAGCTTTTTCATGACTTCCTCTAACTGATCTTTACGTTGTCCTCGTCTTTCTTCCACTGTTCCAACTGCTCAATGTAATGTTGTTTAGTCTCAGGATCCATACATTCCGTCTCAAGATGGTCGATAGCAGTTCTGTACTGAGGTCCTCCCAGACACACCAGAGATTTTCGAATATCCTGCCATTGGCTATTAAATGTTGTATCATCAACCGAAGCGTGTCGAGCATGCGCGTACACCGTGTTTCTAAAGAATTTTATTCGAGCAATATTGGCTTCACGGCTCAAGTCTGTTGCGGTAGGCAAAACATCCCAACCAGTGGTAGGTGCAGCCAGACCACAGATGTTCCTTAACAAGACCATCAGAAGAGTAATGTCGAATGATGACGACGAAACTGAAAAAGGGTTAGTAGGAAATAGCTTTCCCCATTGTGTTGGATTAATAATCTTTTTGCCCCTCAGTGACCGCAGCACAGTTTTGTTTGTCGCCAAAACAGCATGCAGGCGTGCTGGTGGGTGTATGGAATCAAAAGTGTCCTTAAGGGCCCTGGTACCAAGCTCCACCAAGAGTCGACAAAGCCGCGCGTAATTAGTGGTCTCCTTGGTGGATGGAGTTGCTGGTGCTGCACAAGCCATCAGTGATAGTTCCTTTGTAATAAAATTTTAAGATTAAGATTATTACTACTTTTTGTACTGGTCAGCATAAGTTTCGACAATTCACTATTTCCACTTTACCCATAACGCCCATAAGACCCTAGACTACGAGTAGTCCTCCATTTTTCCTCAGGGATAGTAGAGCGAGCGAAACGCGAGCGTGCGTGAAAATCACCCCACGCGAGAAAAGGCGACACGTGTCTAATAATACCCTCCAAAAGTTTGCATAACCAATGTCTTCAATTGCTCAGGGCGACTGTAATACCCAGGAGAAATTGGAGACAATGGTTGTGCAAAATTGTGGGCGGTAAACAAGGTGTATTATGGGAAAGGTGAAATAGCCAATATCATCATCTACTAAAAACTGCACGAGGTCTATTCAAAACCTGCTCAGCCTGAGATTTATTCGTGCTCGCTTCAATTATGTTCAAGAAAAGGATTTGCTCTATTTCATTCTTTATGAAATTGATTTATGCACTCAATTATGTACTTGTTAAAACTCAATCGAACACATAGGTATCTATTCTTTATCTACACCTTTTAAAGTGTGCAGGAAATGATCATCCATTAAATGAATATTCACATCTCAATAAAACAACTTACACTTTACATGGTTCATCGATTATTACTACTTTCGTTTCATCTTTATAGAAAAATGTATCTTCCTTTCTGAGATCTCTAACTATCTGTTACAGGAAGAACGAGTTATATTACGTGTGTAGCGTGCTTGTTTCGACCCATAGTTTAAAGAACGACTTATGTCATGTTTGTCGCGTGCTTCTTTCGACTTTCCGACTCACGTTACATGTTAAGCGTGCCAGTCTCGACTTAGGACTTAAAGAACGAGTCAATGTTAGACGTGCAGAATTTTTGTTTTGACCCATGGCACGATTAGACCTCTGGAGATTCCATCGGAATCGATGTGTTTCCATCGGATCCGATGGACTCTGGACGACTTTCCAGCCCTCCTGAAAGTATTGTTTTACACTTCCGGTTTCATCTTTCGACCAGACTCCATTGGACTCCAGGTTTTGTCCACTGGAACCTAGTCGAGAGTATTGGACATGTGTGGTATTTTTAGGCGAAAACCAGTTGGCACGAAAATGTAATCAACCAAATTGGATTAAATCTTGTGGCAAAACACAGAAAATACAACTAGTCCCTTCAGTGCTTCATTTCGCGGCAGGCGGTGTGCGTCACGAGATTCGACCAATCAGAATGCGTTATTAGTAGAGTGATTTTCGCGCTTGGAAAGAGCCGTTTTCAGAGGTGAACTGATGAAATTGTCGCATTATTCCAGGCTCGCGTAGGTAATTTCGACACTATACCTCCGTGGAAAGTTGTTGGAACACTTTATCTTGATGGTAGTTACGTTACTTTTAAATATTTTGCTTTCTTGAACGTTTGTGACAAGTTTGAATTGCTCAGTCATATGCAGGCCGCCATGATGATTTGAGTGTTATTTTCGTCGTTCTTCTTGGATTCATTGGTGGTTACTGTTAGTGGTTTTATCGGATTATTTCGGTCATCTTATTACTTCAACCTTTCTTCTTCGAAAATGTCGGCGTTTACCCGGGTCTACCCCTGTTAGTTTTCCCGTTATGAGACGTTGAGAAGCGATTGCAGAATACCTGGCCCATTAATCGTACTGTAAAACGGACTTCCACCAGGGGCACCCAACGACGATTTCCTCCTAAATGCATTGAAAACACGTTTTAGGCTACCAGGGTGGCGCTAGAAATTTTTTATCTGTTCGGTCATCCTAGGGCAACTTGAATCTTTTCGAAATTACAAGGGATTCAGCATTATTTTCCCGAAAATTTTAGCTGCAATTTAAAATTTTCCCAAAATTTCAGGTTTCCTTTCTCTACGATAAATAGCTTAACCTGGGGAGTGAAATGGAAAAAATTAAAGTTCAGAAAATCGTAGGGAATTTATTAGTAAGATAAGCTTCGAACATTTTACATGAATGGAACGGTCATCTAGAAATTTTTAGGCTTCCTCAAGCTATAGAAAATTCTAGGCAATTTTTGCTTCTCCGAACAGATATTTCACAGAAAATGGTCATTGGGTGGCCCTGTGCCACCGCGGACCGCAGTCCGCCGTAGTGGTTGAATGAAAATTGTTAAAGGGAAAGCAGTAAAATGAACTGCCACAGTGGTCCGCAGTCCCGGTAGTCGATGAATGAAAATTGTCAAAGGGCTAGCGGTAAGACGGACTGCCACCGAGGTCCGCAGTCCTCTGGTCGATGAATGTAACTTTTATAACTCTAAAGATTAAAATGGTCTGCCATCGGGGTCCGAAGTCACGTAGTAGGTAAATAAGAATTGGAAATAACGGCCAGTTTTTGAGTGGCTTTTATAGGATATGTGGATTAAAAAACGAGGTATCAATATTACATTTGCAGTGTTCTTCTTTCCATTCATTGCTTGGCGAAGTGGCTGTTGATTAATTTTTCTAGTAATAGCTCTTATGCAAATTTTGATGACCGCAAGTTCTTTGGGGACAGTTAAGCGAACGAAATAGGCGATAGCGCGAGAAAATTTGCCCCGCGCGAGGTAATACTTAGGCTACGCGTGAGGTGAAGAGAGACGCGGGGGTAGGAGATCAGCGCCTGCTTAGGATTTATTTAGTGAATTCGATTTGACAACGCGGTTAAGCTAGCAACGTTTAAACAAGGCGTAACAGAACCCTACCTAACTAGTGGTATCGTTAACGCGAACCCAAATAAAGAGCAATGCTTCTTTTCAAACATCAGCCATCAATTGTGATTTTATTTAAATTACATGGTACATCATTGAAAAAAAGAAAATTTGTCCGAGTAACTAACAAACAAACAAACAAACTGGAAAAGCACCTAACTTGGAAAATATTCGAAAGGGCGTGGGAAAGTTGACAGTCAAAAAAGAACTTACATGCATGGGGACTTAAAAGTTCTCAACCACGGTAGACGCCTGGAGTTGATGAAAACATTTCTTAAAATTACTGACGGAAATTATTGGACTGCAGATAATTAACCATTGGCTGAGTAATGTCTCTATGTATTGGTTTAGCGAAAACACTGTCAAACTGACACTACTTGTTACTTGCTGACTTCACAAAGACTTTGCTTGTCGCTCTGGCCCTTGGAACACGGAATTGTACTATTCCTCCAAACCCATCCGCCTGCATGGATTCTGTGGAGCGCTCATACTCTGCCTCAGCGATTGTTCGAGAGGATCTCTTTCCATGCTTAAAAGCTCTGTACGTTACGGCCGGTCCAGGTTACAAAAGGATGCTCTCCTTGACTGAATCGCTCGTTGGTTGTTCGATCGTTTTATTGCAAATAGAATTTAGTGATTTCTTTAAGGAACTAGATGAGAATAAAAGGGAATGACACAAGAATTACGCCATGTAAGAAACGGGTTGCATTGGGAAGTCAAGATTCAAGGAGTGTTTCAGGTGTTTTACAACGAGTTCGCTACTTGTCAAATTCGCTACGTACAGACTATTGTCACTGCTTAATGATTTTGTCTTGGTCACTTCGTTCCATGCCCTTCAATGGTTAGATCGTTCCACGATGTAGTGATAAAAGACCATAAAAGAACGAGAAATCCTTCGATGTTGGGCATTATTTAGTGATTTTAACACCTGACGGTGGTGGATGTTAGTGACATTTCCAGTTGTGTTACATTATGTACTTCCTGACAATTATCACGTGTTTATGTCATGTGACGTGGTTGAATTCGGACTCTCTTTCGAGACTTGTTGAGATTTGTCGAGATAGGCATGGATCGCACTTGGGAAAAGTTTTCATCTTTGCCGGCTAAAAAACCACAAAAATTCGAAACCGCAACCGGAAAAGAAAACTTTTAGTGCAACCGAGGAGGGTCGCATTAGTGGGAGTTAATACTATAACAGTTTTTGCTTTGACACATTGAGAACTTAAGAACGCCAGATACCAGAAAACATTTTTCTCTTCTTCGTCCGAACCTTTGTCGAAGGATCTTTTTCCTCCATTCCCAGTTTCAGGAGGAGGGGACAGATAAAGAAGACCAGAAAGTGCTTGGATGCGAATAGTGCATTTGGCTTGGAGAATAACAAACCTGTGAAGTGTTTGCTTGTGTAGACGGGAACTGGTTCGCCTTCAATAGAGCTAGTTCCCGTAAAAACCTTAAAATAGCGAAGGTTTATAAGCGAGTGAAGTCCTTGCCTTAGAGAGTTTTCGAAAAAAACTTGAAATGGCGAAGGGTAGCCGAGTAGAAGCCTCTTCGCGAAGGTCTGAAAATTCGACCGCGTTTATTTTAAATTGATCGTGTTTCAAATGGATCACGCTCATGACAAGGCGCTGACAGTTACCGCTGTGATTCGTATTGTTTAGCTCGAGTTTTCCAAAATCTGCCTGCCCCACCCAAGCACTACGGCGTCTTTGATGTTTTTGCCGATTTTCAAAGTTTTTTCTAACTTGAAAACTCGGGGTCGCACTTAGCAATGTCCACCGATGACAGATTTCTACCGCAAGGTAAACAAATTCTCCCAAAAATTTGCCAAGTGCGATCCATGCCTAACGAGATAGTTTTGTTTTGTTGAGAGCTTACAGTACAATACAATACAATCTACATTTTGGTCCTTCGGAAACCCGATATTCGCATTGGTGTAATAAACCAGTGTTGTGGAATTTGCAAGGGACTCGTTCGAACTTGGAAACATTTGGCGGGAAGTCCATCGAGAACTAAAGCTGAAGGAATTATGGATGGAAAAATAGAAGTGTTAAAAAAGGGAAAAGAACCCTCGAGACAAGTATTACGAAGCTTCTGAACGAATTAGCGGCAGAATTATCGACGAAAACGCCAAACAAGGAAAATGTCACGGCAAAAATTCAGAACATCGACAAGCGACGGGATGAATTATTGGAGCTGTTGGACTCGCTTCAAACCTTGTACGGAGAAAATAAGCATGCATCGCTGGCAGCTTCAACAGGTGATGAAGCAGATAAAATGATAGATCATGTGGATAACGAGACAAAGGAAGCTCGGCTTTTCTTATCGCAAAGTAACAGCAAGGAAAGCGAAGGAAATAACACAAGCCAGATCGGGCGCAAATGGCAAAGATGGTCACGCGGTCGATGCAAACAAACAGCTTGAGCGGATTCGAATCCCAAAGTTTTCGGGCGACAAGAAAGAATATCAGTCGTGGTGGGCAGCGTTTTCCAGTGGTGTGGATGAAACAAATTTGTTAACTCAGTTTGAAATGTTGAGGTTCGAAAGTTGTTTAGAAGGAGAGGTGGCCAAAACGGTAAAGGGACTAAGGCAAGGTTGAATCGAAAGTGTGGGGAAAACAGGCGACAGGTTCAAGCCCATATCGATGAGCTACGTAAGATAATCCAAGAGAGCTAGAAAGATTTGCCGACATAGTGAAGAGGACTGTGGTTTCTTCAAGGAAAATAAGAACTTTGCTGACCTGGAAGGAGGAACATTGTATGTAATTGTGCTGGAAAAACTTCCTCGAGCTCTACTTAGCCAGTACCATTGATGGATTAAAGAAAAGGGAAGCTTGAATTCTCTTGAAGAGCTACGTCGCTGGGTTGCTGAGGAAGCTGGGTACCCGGTACAAGTATCAGAAATTAAACATGGTTTGTGCAGTGTTGGAAGTGTACGAGGAAAGAGTTCAACTAAGTCTTATTTCGGGACCATAGAAGAGAAACGTGATCGTCCCTGTAAAGTGTGCAACCAAAAGCACCCAATTTGGAAATGTGTAATTTTCAAGGAAATGGAGCATAGAAAGAAATGGGAGACAGCGAAGAAACTTGGACTGTGTTACCATTGCTTGGGAAAAGGGCACCTTGGTGACTCATGTACTTGGAACAGAAAGTGTGGAATTGATGGATGTAAGGACAGACACCATCGGTTACTTCATGAGGAGAAAGTAGCTTCTGGGTCCATGGAGGGGAAGGCTGACACAACCGTGACAGAGGAAAAAAAGTTCAGTACGTATGAAACAGTGCAAGAACATGCACAGAGGAGTACTTGTGTACTTTTCCTGTCATTCTGAAACATGGGGAGAGACGCTTGCAAGTTAATTGTTTCTTGGACGAAAAGCAGTGATTCGTCGTATGTTAATGAGGATGTGGTAGAGAAACTGAGGTTAGATGGTAGGAAGGAAAAAGTAATTATCAATGTTGCTAATGGAAAGAAGGTCAGTTTAATGTCAGCAACCATGGAGATTGGTTTGGAGAGTCTGGATGGTTTGGTGGACACAGTCATTGTAGCGAAAACATCTAATAACATCTGTGGTGGGATGAAACCCACCAACTGGGTGCAAATCAAAGACCAGTGGAAACGTTTGAGGGACATTCCTTTTCCTAAGCTCGGAAAAAGGAGTAAAATTGACGTTATTATTGGTTCAGATTATTACAACCGGCTGTTTCCTATGAAAGAGGTTCGTGGAGGCGACAATGAACCTAGTGCAGACTGTGACCATTGGGGCGGACAGCAATTCATTGGTACCATTGGTACGTCTGAGGGACTTGGAACAAGTAACACTGGTTACCTGAACACCTATCGCATACAGCAGTCAGAGTGTAGTGATGGAGATCTGAAATATCTGCTGAATCAATTTTGGAGCCTTGAGGCTATTGGGATCACACGGCAGGCGGAACAACCGCTTTCCCCCGAAGAGAAACTAGCGTTTGATAAAGTGAACGAATCAATCGGGATTGTTGGTGAAAGATATGAAAATGCTGTGCCTTGGAAACATGAAAGACCATAATTACCGCCAAACCGACAGATGGCAGAGAAACGCCTTCACACAGTTGAGAAGAAGGTTAATGCAAGATGAGAAGCTGGCGCGGGCTTACCAATCAGTGGTTGGTGACTACTTAAGTAAAGGATATATCAGAGAAGTCCCAGAGGATGAGCCCAAACCACCATCAGAACGGTTCCTTCCACATTTTCCCGTGGTAAGGCCAGAGAAGGCTATAAACAAAGTTCGGGTTATTTTCGATAGCTCAGCTCAGCAAAATGGAAAGAGTTTGAACAGTGAATCACTACCGGTCCTAAGTTGCAAAGTGACATTGTGGATGTTTAAGTTAAGAAGAGAGCCAGTTGCCTTAGCTGGTGATGTGAGCCAAATGTTTCACCAGATACTTCTTAGACCAGAGGACAGACCCCTGCACAGATTCTTATACAGGAACTTGGACAGTGGGGATACACCAAAGGTTTACGAGGTTAAGAGGTCTATTTTGGAGGATGTTACTGCCCATTTTGTGTCCAGTTTGGGTGTCCTGTGGGCCGCCACAGACGACAAATTTTCCTTTAGACACTCGTTACAGTTAGATGGATTTGAATTCCCCAAAAGGAATGTTTTGAGGCGAACAGCATCAGTTTACGACCCATTAGGCTTCTTATCACCTTATGTATTCAGGTCCAAGTTGTTGATACAAAAGGCTTGGCTGGAGGCACGGGATTGGGATGAACTGTTGCCTACATCTCATCAGCAAGAATGGACAAAGTGGTTTCGAGAATTGAAAGACCTTGAACTTGTGAAAATCCCAAGGTGTTTAAAGACCCAAGTCCTAAGGTGGAAGAACTGAACATTCATACATTCAGTGACGCCTCAGAGAACGCATATACAGCTGTAGTTTACACACGTCATGTGTATGAGGGTGGCAACATTACTGCTCGATTGATTATGTCGAAGTCTTGGCTGGCACCATTGAAAGCAGTGAGCATCCCCAGGTTAGAGCTTTTGGGTGCATTAGTTGGATTACGATTAACAAGACAAGTTTGCTCTGCACTCAAGATACCTACAAATGGAGTGACTTACTGGGTGGACAGTATGAATGTGGGGTACTGGACCTAAGGTCAGAGTAGAGAGTGTAAGCCTTTCATAACCCATCGTCTTGGAGAAATTCATGAGTTCTCTGCTCCTAATCAGTGGCGCTATGTTCCTACGGATGTAAACCCCGCTGATCTTGGAACAAGAGGCCTGACAGTAGAAGAGTTAGCAAGCGCAGACTTAAGGTGGAATGGGCCCGAATTTCTGAAGAAGTCAAGACAAGACTGGCCATAGTGCAAGTTTGACAAGCCAACGTCAACAGAGAACCTTAAACTTAAAGGAAAAAAGAAACAGGGACAAAGGATGCTACCAGTTACCAAATAATTGAAGAACGTGAAGAAACGTCTAGTGTCGAAGACGTGTGGCGAGGTTTGGACCCCTCAAGATACTCGAAATGGTATCGAGTCCAAACAAAAGGAGAACTGGAAATTGGGTTGTCTCTACTTCGTGTGACAGCGTGGGTGCTCCGATTTACAGACAATTGTAGGAAACCAGCTTAGCAAAGAGAGAAGAGTGAACTGAAGCCATTGGAGCTTCAAAACGCTGAAGAATTTATCATTCGGGAGGTTCAGTCTTTGGAGACACTGGTGCTGGATAGATTTACTAATTAATAATTACAAGGCTGACTCTCCATTTCCATCGATTTTGAAAATTAACAACTAAAATTTAGTAAACGAAGAGGACTATTGTCGTGTCATTCCGCTTTAGGCGAGAAATTCTCTATTTGACATCACTAGGAAACAGTTGAGCCATAAATAAATAAAATCATAAATCAATTTTGTTAATTTAGATCTGTCCACGTGACAGTGGTATGAGATAAGTATCTGCAGCAGCTCCTGTGGTGCCACTCACAAAGGATTCCTGGTCAGAACGCCACTCGTCCCTCATTGTACAAGAACAGTACATCAAGTTGAAGGAAGACATGGAGGCTATGGAAAGAGGGAGAAGAGCACAGGCCAAGGAGTTTCAAGAAAAACTCGATAATCAGTGGAAAATATTGACCGAGATGTCGACACAAATTCAAAATCTCGTAATGATTTCTGGTCCGAAAGAGTCAGTGCAAGAAAGAGCTGATGGTGATGTTTTTTTAGGCTCTGAGGAAAGCGTGGAAACTGAGTCTGTTTTGTGATTATTACAAAATCATCTTACATAGGGCATGGTCTCACTAATGCTGATCTTCTCTTCAAGTATTTTAAAACAAAACTTAACAAGTTAAAACAAATTATCTTTACCCGTGTAAATGTAACGTAAACATGGCGGATGCCATAAGCTCTCATTTTCCAACAATTTACACAAAAGCTGAATTCTACCTGATTATTATAGGAAAACAAGCGGCTCCACCGAATTTTTAAACGACGGCGAGGCATTTTCAAAAGAGTTGTTGATGTTTAATTATTCAAAGTGAAATTTGAACCGAACTTAGAATTCCTACATGAAGGAAAAAACCACTTTTAGATTTTTTAAACAAAATTTTTTTTACAGTGTTACGATATTCACAACAAAGGAGTCTGAGCTTTGGTGACTATTAACCAATCAAATATGAGAACATTTTTGTTTTTAATTTTCAAAGTATTGGTGGCTCCGCGTAAGCTCGTTGCACTACAGTTGGTGAAATTATAAATCTGTATGTCGGTACCCATGACTGAAAGAAAATGTATAGCCTGCGTGGCAAGCGTTTCAAGGGTATGGGCGGAGGTAAGTGATACACTAGGCGCGCTACGTGAATTCCTTTTTTTTACCGGTCAACCTTTGTCACTTCGCCTGTAGTTTATACCATATTACATCAGTTCAAATAGGAGGTGGATTTTACTATGTCCAGCAAGAACACCACAATGAACTTTTAAGATTTTTGAGGGAAAGATCTCTAAAGTTCATTAACTTAGGGAAATAATAAAAATAATTCGAAGGAGGGATTGAAGATGAGACTCGAGAACAATTAGATTTTCTAAGCAAGAGATCAGTTTAGTCAATACCGTTTTAAACCAAGTTGAATCTCATTATAAAGTTCAGTTAAAACGGAGGATATTTAGCGCGTAACAGAGTTAAAGGGCTGTAAAGTTCCTAACACCAAATCAGTATATGCACTATTGCGTTGTTTTCCGGTGTAAAGGTTACTATGTTATTGTTTAAGAGCTAGGGCTAATTTTGTTCGATGTGATGCCTCATTAACGACCTCCTATAGACTTGGCATAGGGAACACCTTAGGACAGAACTGAAAAAAACTATTTGTTTTCAACGCGAGTGAGTAATTTTGAGTTGGTAAAACAGTGTTTTTCCTGGTCTGTACAATATATATGCCTTCTTGACT